AACTCCTGCAAAGTGATCTGGCTTATGATGTCAGTACTGTGCCTCTGGGGTAATTTTCAGTGGGTTTCTCCTGCTTGCACCAGGTCCCAGTTTCAATCATCACAACTTCCTCAGCCTAGCCTGACCCACGGCCTCTCAGTGTCTGCAGCAAGGCCAGGGTTCCTCTGTTGTGCCAAGCCTTCTCTTTTCGTCTCCTGCCTGCCCTTCTGTCCTGCAACCTTCTCTTGACTTTCTGGTTCAAATCTAACCATTAGGGGAAGCAAAAAAAAGTTATTGAAGCAAAATTCTCTACTGCAAGAAAAATTTAAATGCCATGAGTTAAACCAGCTTCTCCATGTGTGTTCAGTAAAGTGAGCTCCAGTGTTTTATTTCTCAAAGGCAGCAGGAGCTGCGGGTTTGAGATCCTTAATATTGCCCTTGTTTCCAAGGGGAGGGCAGGGCCAAAATCCACTTCAGCTCAGGAGATCACAGTGGTGTCCTAAGAGTTAACTGTGCTCTCCCCATCCATCAGGCAGCCAGCGAGGCATCAGAGGGGATGATGGATGTAAAATTATTGCAGGGCTGCCACCCGAGACACTTCCTGCCATTTGTAAGCAGCGCTGGAACCGACACACTTTTTTCATTATTAAACATCCACATTAAGTCAACATTGGTCACTGTCATCCCACGTTTGGCACTTTCTTAAGGGGAACAGGGAGAGCTGGGGGTGGGAGTGGGGAGGATGGAGGGAGGAGGGGGGATTGGGAACGGGAGCAAAGGCATCCTGCACCCCGTGCTCCATGAGGATGAGTAATGGGCTGGCTCACAACGCGGCAGTAAATATTGTTACAAATAGCTCTTTAGTCACAAGCCAGCAGACAAGTACATGTCAGAGCCTTTTAAAAGGACACACTGCAAGCAGTAACAGGGAGAACTTGCAGTGCAGGTTCAGCCCCAGCAAGGGAAGGGGGGATGTATTGGGATGCACTCAGCTGGGAATGCAGCTCCATCCCTGCACATCAGAAAGGCTCCTGGGGTGTCCTCACACAGCTGGCCAGCACAGAAAGCAGTGACAAGGAGGAGGAGGTGCCTGTGTGCCCTGCTCCTCCTCTGTACACCCCTGAGCAGGAGCAGTGGGGATCTGTGCCTGGCCATGTGCATGTTTGGGTGCTGCCCCTGCAGAGTGCCCAGCAGGCTGGGTACATGCACACCCTGCTGGCTCTTTGTGCTTGTGTACACCTCCCTGGCTGCTCTGGGGCTGAGCAGAGAGGCCAGGGCTCCCTGCCTGTTGTGCTGTTTACCCCAGGTAACACTGTTTATGTATGGGATGTATCAAGCTATAATTAACTGTAGATGACAATTACATATAAAGCTATGCTCTCGGGTTTCCAAGAAACCACAAAAACACACTCTTCTCATTTATACAAGGAAGTGTTTCCAAGAAAAGTAATGTAAAAATATGTTTTACTGCATTTGCAATTAAAATAGGCTTTAGTGAAATCCGTGTTCACAGTGATGCTCAAAGTTTTTACTGTAATCCTCTGAAAATCAAAGCCGTCAAGATGGTCCAAGTTGGATGCCCAAAAAGTGACTCACCCAAATCATCTTAGACATTTTTAAAAATCTTTTCTTATGTATGACTCCCTTTATACAGCTTGTCTCTACTTCCACAAAATTCCTGTCTGACTCCTGCCTTAGCTGGCATGTCTGGCTGTCCACAGGAATCAGCCCCTCTGGGAACATCAGCAAGAAAACAGGACACACCTGAAGAGCCCAAAGAGCTTCAACAGAGACTCCCAAAGATGATTTCCTGCCCCAAGCCAGCCCAGCTACCCCTGGCAGACAAGTCCCCACCAAGAGTCTCCCATAAATGCTGGGAATGGCACAGAGCCCCCTCACTGGAAGGCTGCAGAAGCAATTCTTGCAATAAAAAGCTCAACAGGGAATAAGAGGCCTCCAAAAGTACACTTCCCACTGCAGCAAAGAAGGGAGAAAAATCTGGGATAGCCCCAACAAGTGTTTGTTACCTATAAATACTAATGTGCATTTCTAAGTACTAATATGCCCAGGGATATACAGATATACATTAGGATAAAATAAAATAATTACATCTTAATTCCACCCCCATCTCCAATTCTCTGGTCAGGAAGCAAAAGTGACAGACAGGACGTCTCCAAAGTTCAGGGGCTGCCACTAAGTCCTGCGGTGGGACCTTGAGCTGCTGAAAAGGGAAACTCTGTAAAAAAACTGTAGCACTATTTCTTGCCAACCAAATTCCCAACTATCTCATTCTCTGCCTCTGAAAACAGAGAGAACCAGAATAAAGATTAATTAAAAATGGCAATACTCGCTGTCTGTCCTCTCAAATCTTGCTCTTAGTAAAAAAACTTTAATGTCCTAGAGCAAAAATACACAAACTTTAGAGAGGCTGGATTGTTTGTCTGGATATGAACATCACACATTAAAATAAATCACAGAACCAATTAGGTTGGAAAACATTTCTGAGACCATCGAGTTCAAATCAGTGAGCCTCAATAAAGTTCTGGCATTAATTGTATCAAAAGCCCCAAAGCCTACAGCTGCTTTAGAAAAATTCTCTATTGAGCAAACCATTTTTTCTTCCCACTACCTTGTAAAAGAACTCCTGTCTGCCCTCCACGAGCCTAGCAGGAGGTATGAATTAGAGAGGAAAATAAACTTCAGCTGAGGTTGAGGGTGTGAAGTGAAAACAGAAGGAATAAGGAGAATCCCAAGAATAGGAAAGTAACAGAATAAAGTGAATGCAGATGGTTCCACTCCTGTTACTTAATCAAAAGGCTGTGCAGAGTCACTAGAGCCAGCATAAAGTCATGTGTTAGAACAACAGCTGATCTGTATTAAAGAAGATTAACTGGCAATGCCATGGTGGAGGGCCTGGGATTATTTTATGTGCTTCCACTGCCGAACAAGCCGTCAGCACAATTACTGCCCTCCGATGTGAATGACTGATCTGTAACCACAGCTAAACAGCATGCTGCTTAGGGGCCTGGGTGCTTCATGAAGATGAATTTCCATACCATCAAAGTGCTTTTAATGGGCTTCCTGATCCAACCAACAAGGCCTGCTTTGCAAGTATATAGAACTCAGGATGAAGGCTTCCTGTCCAAAAGGATTTGGTCGGTTGTCACTTGACAATTCCCAGCCAGCACAAGGGAGGAGAGGGGGGAGATAGGTACAGTTGTCTCTGCTTTGGAGGATTTAAAAAAAAAAAAAAAGGAAAAAGAAAAAAAAGGGTACAGATGCTTTCTGAATGTTCTGAATGCAACCAACTGCTGTATCCACAGCTGAATTCAATGCGCTTAACAAATAAGGGCAATTTAGCTATGCTTGCGAGGAATAGCTGGAGTCACTTTGCATTAGCATCTGCCTGAGTGTTAAAGTCATTTCTACATGGGGAGCACAGAAAAGGAATTTCTGCTCCGAGCATCCTTTCAAGAATGCTTAAATATTTGAATATAAATTCCTTTGTGCTTGTGATCACTTCTTCTTATATCTGACACTCTGCTTTTCCCTTTTCCCTTCTGGTGCTCTTCTCTGTGGAACGCCATAAACATGCTCCAGCCCTCTCTTTCTCTCTCCCCACAGCAGCACCCTGGCTCTCCTGAGACAGAGTGGAGGTACTGCTACATACCCACTACACTGACCTCTTTTCTCCTTCCCCTTCCTCTCCAGAAAGGGATGGAACTGGAGTCATTCCTACATCACTGGCACCTGGGACAGGCCGATGGAAATAACAGTGCAGCGGTGAGAGACTCACACGGACACTTAACATTCATTACACAGGCTGCTGGCTTCTCACAGCTTATTGATCAAACTCCATCTAAAACCAGGCACAATGGAAAGCCATCCAAATCAGCAATCTGCTCGCTCTGGACAATATTGTTTGACTCGCAAGCTTCCCAGGATGACTGGGTTTCAAGTTTCTGCTAAATAGCTGATCATTTTTATTCAATCTATCTGTCTGCCTGTCTCAGTGAACTGCACAGGACCTTACAGTGGAAGTGCTCTCAGTTAAATGTAGCTGACACCAAATGTGACAACGGGAACCTTGTACTGTATCACCCCAGAAAATACAGCAGGGAAGGAGAGGAGCAGGGGGAAGCCTTGCTAAGCACACTGAGATGAGAACAGAGCTGAGCTGTGTATCCTGGGTGGCAGCATTGTAAGGACAGCTCACAGGCAATGTGGCAGCAAGCACTGGCAGGTCTATTTATCCTCCATAAGGTGCGCACAGAGACATCAGGCACTCACTGAGGAAAGAAGCAAATCCCAACCTCACTGACAGGCACGGCAGTGAGAGCACACACAAATTTCACTAGAGAATACCCACTTTGTTGGTATTTTGTTACAGCACAGCTTCGCAGGCCAGTCCAAGAGCAGACAGTGGTAAGGCCCGTACGTTCTGCCGCCTCTAAGTTTCACTGCAAATATTTGGTGCAGTTTGTGCTGTCAATTCTCTGCTTTTCAATTCTGTTCAGTCATCTAACGTGACGTGACAGTGCTACATTGCAATGGTCACAAAATATCATCTATGACGACCTCACGAGGCTAAATACCCAGAAGCTGAGCCTGAGTATCAGCAAAGCTTATGTTCCTAAAGAAGCTTGAATATTTTCAAATCCAGCTCATCTCACAAACACATGTAAGCATTTCCATAAAGCAAGATTTCCACTTAGACCCAGAGATTTCCAAGATCACCTTCCCTTAATACATGTTGACAGGCTGGAACAGAGAATTAGTGGTCTCCAAAGTTCTCGTGAGGGCTTTAAGCATCTCTGCCTCCTCCCCACTCTCCCCCAGGGGTCTCAGGTCTCTCTGTCATGTCATCTTTTGGCTTTTCACTGTTTTTGAACTATTCTCTTTCAAAAATGCGGAAGGAAAAATAGAATAAGGAGGACAAGAAGGGAGGAAGAAGCTGTGTATCTGTGGGAAGAGGCAACAGAACACTCTGACCCTTTGCAGAAGGAGTCTGGGAAACTCACTTTTTCTGTCCTGCAGTTATTGAGACCCAGGCTGTTGACCACGGCCACCTTCCCATCCAGCACCTGCTGCTCCCTCCGTAGCTGCTCCTTCATCTGCCGCGCCTCCTGGATGGCCTTGGTGACAGCATCGTGGTCATTTAAATAACCTGGGACAGGACAGAAGAAAGGGTGCCTTAAAAACCAGAAAGTCACAGGAAAACACTTCAGCTCCCAGCAGTGGGATGCAGTTTATCATTATTAATGAGAAGGAGTTAAAAGGCAATGCCCACCAACCTGTGTGCGCTCTGCAATTCTGCTGTTGTTATGATAAAGCCACCTGGACACAGAGCCTGGGAAACCTCAGTGCCAAAATCCTCACTGCTGCTATTTGATCCCATTAGTCTCAATATTTCCCTGACACTGCAGAGGCTGGCCCTGTGCTCTGCATGCAGCAGGATGGAGCTGGGTACGAGTCAGGGGAAGCTTTGATTGTGCCAGCAATCCCAAACTCTTCAAAACAGACCGTTTCATTCTTCCCCTTCTCCAACTTGTGAATACATTAAAATAAACCACAGGTGGCGGTGGTTTGCTATACATATGAAATGCATAATGGCTGGGAAGAAAAACCTCATCCACTGAACACTCCCCACCACCACCTGTCATTCATAAATGTACAAGAAACCACAGCTACACGGACCTACATTCCCACTCCTATTCATGCTGCTAATAGTAGGTCAAATGTCCACTGTTTTGCTGCAAATTCACAGCCTAGGGCTTAGCCTTAGTAGTCACTGAATTATTTCCTTTTAAAATGTTACAAGCATCACCGGCCCAGCTAATACTATTTAATTTTAAATGTGACACTTTGTCATTTTTTTCCTTTAGCGTACCGTAGATTATACTTATTATGATCTGCATGTGATTTGTAGGGTAGAATACTGATGGGAGACTCCAAGCCCCAGTCTATTTCTCAGATATTAAAGCAGAGGCTAATATCTATCAACCTCCCTCTCCCCCTGCACATCCCCACACGTGTGCACACACACACACACACACACACTTCTTTCTGTCTTTTAACTAGGGCATAAAAACAGCATAAAATGAATCTGTAATATGAAATTGCCCAGAAAAGGGACTTCTGTTTGTGACATGAGGCTAAATCTAACCAGATCCATTGGTGAATTGTGACAGATGGAGGGACTGTGAGACAGAAGGCAGGCACTAATCACACACAAAATGACCGGCTTGCCTCAACATGTTCCATGGATTCCAGCAAACTTTACACCCTAATCCATTTTTAGAACAAAAAACATCTGGGCCATAAATCCTCTAATCTGCCAAAACACGCTATTAAATCCCATGATTTGTTGAAAAACACTAAGATTAAAGAAAGGAAATATAAAATGGCTAACTGCCGTGTTAGGAAAGTGTTATTAATACTCTTTCTTTGTCTCAATTATGAATGTTCTGTTCCTAAAGAGCCTTGTCTAATCATGTCAGATTACACATCCCTGTTGTATTGCTAGACTCTTCTATCTGATCTGCTGATTGCCAAAAACGCAGGACATTGTCTTGCTGCTTGAAACATTTCTGGGGAAGAAGCTGATGTCAGATTAGTTCAGTGCTGCGCTGCTGTCAGGATTTTAGCTTGGTCTGGGGTTTTATTGTTGGTTTTTCTTGACTGTGGAGAGAGTGGGACTGATATTCCCATCTTCCTTGGAGAAAAACAGCTAGAAAGAAAAGTTCCTGTGCAGTTGGACTGCTGCTAATTGCACTAACAGCTAGCTTTTGGCTAAAACCCCTGGAACCCTGAGAGTTTTGTATGAAACAACTTGATCCACCTTGCTTTTATCAAATGACCCAGTTCAGTAATTCCCAGCCAATGGAATTCCAGTAATTCCAGTTTTCCCAGCATAAGGAAGAATATAGCCTGCACCAGCACAGCTGATTTTTCTTTTTTTTTTCCTTTTTTTAACCTCCATTTCACCAACTTGCCTGGTTTCTTCCCCAGTTTGCATCTGTTAACCTTTGCATCTGATCAACCTTGCATGTAGTCAGAATAAATTAAAAAAGGAAGCAAATAAACAAACAAACAGCACTATTAGTGCTGCTTTTGCTGTTGTCTAGGTATAATACTTTCAGTCTGTAACAGAGCCAAATTTGCCTAGGAGCTGGAATTCATGCCCTTCTCCAGACTATTTGGCTTTTCCTGAATACTGCTATCTTTGAGACAGTTTGGCACATGACAGTGAATAAAAGCAAGCACTCCTTATGTTTTTCAGTAGCTGCCAAGATGCTGGTGTGCAGGGAAATGATTAATATAGAAGCGAGTTGAATGTAAATTATTGTTGTTTAGGGTAGGTGGTGAATTATTGACAGAGAGGGGAACTGCATTACATAAAATGAACTTAGTTCCAAGGATTGCCAAACTAGCACAGAGATGTTGCAGATAATGGCAAAGAGCAGGGAGAAGTTGTTTCTGTTTTTAGTACACGGACATATGCCTGCTCCCAAAAAGAAAAGCTTGGATTTAAAGTCATCCATGGAGCCATGGCATTTGTGACTGCTCAGTCTGTAGCACCATTTCTGTGCTGTGGGGATGGCTCAGGAAAGGGCTGAGGAGCTGCAATGCCTGAGTGCAGCCCTGCTGATAATCCCTGAGGCTCTGGGCTCCTGTCCCCACAGAAAGATGAGCAATACACAGCATTTCTCCTTGCCATGGGAGCCAAGGGGCCTGAGCACAGAGAAAGTTTAATTTGCACCTAGGGGTGGTACAGAGGGACACAGCCCAGCTGCATGCAGCAAGGAGGGCTGTGCACACCTGGGACAGACAGCCTGTGCCTCGTGCTGACATGTCACAGACATCTTCTATGGAAAATCCTTTCCTTAGGATTTCTCCTCCTGAGAAGCTGAGAGGCCTCAGGAGCAAAATGTAATCAATGGTTATCTGCTGCTGTGGAATGCAACAGGTGCATCTGGGATTGGGCTCATGTGGTTGTTTCTAATTAATGGGCAATCACAGCCCAGCTGGCTTGGACAGAGAGCCCGAGCCACAAGACTTTGTTATCATTCCTTCTTTTTCTATTCTTAGCTGGCCTTCTGATGAGATCCTTTCTTCTATTCTTTTAGTATAGTTTTAATGTAATAGATATCATAAAATAATAAATCAAGCCTTCTGAAACATGGAGTCAGATCCTGGTCTCTTCCCTCGGACTCCTGCGAACACGGTCACACTGCCAGCTCCATCACTCCAGAGGTGGAGGTGCCTGACAAGGGGCTGAGTGCCTGACAAGGGGCTGAGTGCTTCCCAGGGGCTCTTTGTGGAGGATTTATCCCTCTGGATGAGAAAGGGATCCAGCTTCCCTGCCACATCAGGGACCTTTGTAGCTTTGCTAAAAACATCACCAAAGTTTCTCTGGTGTGCTCCTGCTGGAGGGTGATGTGGGATTTCACCCAAGCTCACCAGAGCTTCACCATGGCCATGAGCCCTGCTTGTTGTGATTGGGCTGGATCTGACCTAGCAGTGAGCAGGAGACTGTGCAGGCAGTCCAGGAGCTTTTCCTTCTTGCAGTCCTCCAGTAAAGGATAAACCTTTGCTTAAACCTTTGCTAGGAGTGTCCATCCAGCTCCTGCACCAGCTAAAGACAGCTTATCTTACACATACAGCATGCACAGTGATACTGCTCTGCAACCTCAAAAAGTCACTTTCTATATTTGTAGCAGAGAGATATACAGCAGTGAACTCTATGTCATTAACAATAACTTAAATATGTTATCTTTTGCTCCACAGTTTTCCATGGTTGCTTAATGGTATAACACATTAATTCTTCTTACAAGAGTGACCTTTAAAGCTCTGTTCATCCTCACAGCTTTTATCCAATTACATTATCACTCATTAAAGGTACAGCATTTCAAAATCTGCACCTTGTTAGAAGAAGTAAATTGCAGGGGTCTCAAACCCACGGAAAATAGCAGGTGTGCAGGGAAAGAGGATTGGAGAGGGGAGAACAAGAGATGTCTTGCTGCTGAAATGTGAGTCAGATGCTTAACTTCCCATGGAAATACAACGTTCCCTCTACGTAAGGACAAAAATCTAATCCGAAAAAATGAAATTCAATGCACAGTGCATGGAGAGCAGCAGGGTCAAGCAAATTGAATATAAAATACATTACTGTGCATCACAGTTAAAGAGTGTAGGGTTAATAACAACAGAGGCATTAACAATTAGTAATGTGATATTTAAAAAATATTTATATGACTCTAATGTGTCATACCAAATAAATATCACTGCACAGCACTGCTGTATCACAGACACAGCTTCTGATAGGTCTGACCTAGGGCTTCTTTTGGGGTTTTCTGTGCTACCCCTGAAAGTGGCAAGGCAGGAGATGCTCTAGGAGACAGCAGAAAAAGTACATCTGCCTCACTCAATTCCCAAAACAGAGCTTGATTTACACAATGGAGCCTTGGTTATACTCAGGTTATACTCAATCCCTTCATGGAATACAACATTTTAGAAGGATCAGGAATGGGGTGTGTGCACATTTTCCTTACACACACAGAGGACAGTCCCTGGAACACATCAGAGTTATGAAATTACCTGTAAGACTGTTACTATTTAGATGGTCCTTAGGCAAAGACATCATTTTGGCAGGAAGAGGAACTATCACTATTTTCTGGAACGATGTTAAAAACAGCCAGTCAAGACTTTTTGCAACACAGGGCAATAAATCTGGGGTTTCCTTGAATGAACCTGGTGATTGCTTTGCTTATTACACCAAGGTAAAATAATATTGCAATCAGCATTTGGATGGACTAAGGATTGAACTCGTAATTTTGGAAAAGTGTAGACTTTTAAGTTAAAAGTTCGTTTCTGAAAGCTCATCCATCACTTTTAGATGACAGGGTACAATATCAAGGGTCTCCAGTGCCCACCATCAGCAGGTCACTGTCTGTAATGTGTGCCATTAAAAACCAGCATTCATCAGAAGTTAAAGCAGCATCTGAAATGACACAGGCCTTTGTCTTCTGACTCTGTAGAAGCTAAGATATCCCTCCTGAAAGGAAAGTCTCTGAGCTTCTGCACCCACACCACCAGCTGGAGCATGATGGGCACCCTGGGCAGCTGTGGGCAGGGCTGATAAGAACCCCTTCCCAACAGGAGCTACCCCTGGTTCTGAGGGGACACACAGAGGGCTGGGTGGGACACAGACAGGGCTGAGCTCACCTATTGTGTTGGCTCTGGCCGAAGGACTGGCTAATGTTGCTGGCACGGAGGACTTTAGTGAGCTGGCCCCACTGTTTATTCTCAGAGCTGGCATGTGAGGAGAGGTGGGGGACGTGGGAGATTTGCCATCAGATGTCTTGGGTTTGGCTGAAAGGTTCAGAGGCTGGGCCACTTCATCCTGTGGAAGCAGAGGAGAAAGAAATGTTATCACCCAAGTGCTGCTGGCACAGCTCTGCCCAGCCAAGGCAGGGGCTGCAGCTCCCATGGACCCAAACCTGAGAGCTGCTATCACACACATGAAGATCAAATGTGATACCAGCTTGTCACTCCAGCTTGGAACTGCAGTGACTGATAAACTGGAAAATTAGTGTGACATGATCAGAGAACATCATCCACTTTGTCTCTGAAGTAATTATTCCCATCCACAAGACATTCGCTTCTATCATGAAAATAAAGAGCAATTTTATAGTTATATTTTATTTTGGATCTTATATTCACTAATGAAGAAAAAACTGAAGACCATCTTCACTTAACACTCAACCACCACTAACCAAACTGGGTAAACAAGTGAATAGGGGTTCAGTTCGGTTTTTTATGGGTTTTTTTGGTTTTTTTTTTGGTTTTTTTTTTGGTTGGTTGTTTGTTTTTTGTTTTTTTTTTTTTTGGTGTGCCTTTTCTTTGGTTTTTCTTTTGTTTTAACTGGTATTTTCCCCTGAACTTCCCAGACTTAGAATCCCAAGCACAAAAACACGATAGGAAATCAAACACTTGTCTTCCACCTTAACAAAACCTGACACAATAACCTGGGTAATTCTGCACACACCCCCAGATGTTTTTATCTGGTGCAAAGCTGGACTTCTGGATTTCAGCAATGATTATTATTATGTGAAAATAGAAAAATTGGGTGACATTTTTTGCAGGGTAATGGAATTATTCCTAAATCTGGCTTGATTACAGACAAGACTGACAGACAGTGCTATAAAAAGCATTAAAATGCCAAGTAATGTATTTTTGTTCGACCAAAGTAAAATACAGTAAGAAAAAGAAAAAAAAAAAAAAACAACAGAGAAGGGAGAAAAGGATTTTCAACAAGGGGAACATTTTAGAAGTGATTTTAACTGACTTTTAAATAAGCAGAACTAATGGATGTGATATTAGATCAAATCATCACATAATAGCTTGGCTCTTGTCTGACACTGTGACTTAGGGAAGTCATCCTTTAGCTACAAGGAGTGCTTCACAGACAGCTGGGCTCCAGCTCTAGGCACTGGGAAACTGATTCTGGCCTCCCTAAATTGTAACTACATCTAGTTTTATAGAATTATTCCTGACTTACTTACAACAGTGCAAAGCTGAGTGAGATTAGACTCAGCTTTTGGTTTTTGTGAGCTTTTTTTTTTTTTGGTGTTTGAGTGTTTTACTGTTATCACCAAAGTCTCTGTGACTATCATGTAACAGTGATTCTTTTCCACACAGGAAAGAAGGAATTTTACAGCTGCTATTGCTCATGGAACTACGATGGAGATGTCTCCAAACATAAAGACAAATCTACAAATCTCTGTCATGCAACTTTTCCATTGCCTCTGAGCAAAGCACCTTTGTTATATTTGATTATATTTCTACATTTGGCTATATTTCTACAGTTTTGCGACAGTCATAGCAGATAAACATTATCAGAGGCATAGTGGACAAAGCTGTCATCCTTAAAGTGATGCTGAAGCCATCCTAGAGGCAACTTGTGCATAAAATAAATGGGAAAAAAATCACTGCATAGAATTGCCTCAGGAGCCTACATACTACACTCCCAGAAGTGAATTAGTTACCTAGATGGCAGAGTTCTGTTGATCTGCCAGGAGATTTAGGCTGCAGGGTTCAAAATGTCACCAGTAAAACTGGTATTTGACATTTTTAGAAGGGATTTGTTACTTTACGGAAATACAAATCCATTGTAGTAGAATACAATAGATAAAGATAAAATTAGAATAAAATAAAATACCAGCCAAATGGAAGGGGATTTGCTTTGCTGCTCCCCTGATTTCAATTAAAAATAAAGAAGTCTCACAACATTCCAACTGTAGTGTTGTGAAATCGGTACTGAGTTAGTTGCATTGAAGTTTTGAGTACAAATGAGCCAACAAACCCACCAAAGACAGTGACCCTGTGCCAGAGAAGGATCCCTGAACAGCCAAGCCATGTATTTATCTGGAACTCAACCTGAGCAGCAAAGCAAACCTGCCCACAGACCTGCTCCCACTCAGCCCAAGAGGGTTTGGTTTCCATGCACGTTGGATTCTTGACCTCTGCTGAAAGTCTCACCAGAAGGGGCTGATCTGTGTCAGATATGGTGCAGAAAGCTGCAAGGTGCTCTCTGCCCAGAGAAATCTGGCAGAGCAGCAGCAGCTCAGGAGCAGCAAGTCCTGGTGGGAATGGCTCTCACCATGGCAAAGGCAGCATGGGTTCCAACCCACATCCCCATTGTGAAAGGCTTCTTCAGCCTCATCCTCCGTCCCTCAGCCATCCTACCCCTGTAAAGCTTATTTCCTTCCCTCCTCTTGCTCCCTCTCCCTTTTCTCAGCTCTTCTGTTCCCTTTTTTTCAACCTGGTGTGAAGGCAAGGTCCTGTCCAAGTCCACTGCTCCGGGGTGGCTCTGATCTCGTTTAATGCGAGCGGTTTTTCCCCACTGTAGGCATCAAGCAATGAGGCTGTTTGTGTTGCAACTATTCCTGGGAGTAAGAATGCTCCTCTTCATTCAAGTCAGCACAGCCTTCTCTGAAGCCAAGAAATATAAGGCCTTGTGGAAATAATAGAAGCCGACAGCTCCAGAGCTGATAAATGTCATTCCAAATTGCCCCTTCATTCACTTTCATTGTGTGCTCAGGCTAATGGTAAATTAATCGGAGGTCACAGAAGCTTGCTTCTCATAAAGGAGGATAAGTAAACAATTTTCAGCTATTATATATATTTACAAAATGATACTACTTCACTGTTTGGTCTTCATAACATTTTTACTTCTGTTATTTCCAAGAGCATTCTCAAATCCTCGCTGGAAGTCAAATGCATTAAAAATCCTGCGTTGCATCAGGATTTGGTAATAACTTCAGTCATTTCCTTTACAATAGTGGAACTACACTGATTTATTCCAAAGGACTCTAAAAAATATCTGGAGGACAAGTAATAACATACAATTGTGCTAAGTGTGAAGATGATTGTTAGGATCTTCACTCCAGCCAGTGAAACAAGTTACTCTTGTCCCTTTCTGCAGCCATCAATTCAGAATCCTCCGCTCTTCCAGCTTAAACCAAGAACTGTGCTGTCTTCATTACTGATCTGAGCCTGTGTAACCCCAATAAGAATTAGATGCTAGTCCACCTTTATTTTTTAACTATAAAATCTCCCAGCTAACATTCTGACACATTACAGATTAGCAGAATTTCCCCAATTATGACAGACTGCTCGGGCAAGTAAGAGACATAAAAGATAAAGCCCAGATGTAGCATCTTCCCTTCAGGTAGATGGTATCTTTCAACAGTCAGGAGATTTGATTTTATGCAGTGGATCACAGAATCTAGGATTACTCCCTGCATTCAGTTTTTATTAGAGAAAGCATTGATTGGTCCCTGCCTTTTTTTGAAATGCAGCTATTCTAAGATGACATTGATAAGGTGGGTTTTTTTCCCAAGCCAGGATTTTTTAAAGAGTTAAAGTCAAACATTTATTTATATATCAGCCAAAACATTAATGCTGAGACTAGAAGACGTTAAGACCCAAAAGGCTTGTAATAATATAAACACAAATGCGATGAAAATAAAGTATGATCGTGATTAAAGGTTATGAAATGCCTCTTTTAAAGTAGCACATTTGTCTTAGAAAACGAAATACACACAGGCACAAAATAAATGTAGAGAATAAAGCATAAGCAAAAACACAGGAAGAGGGGCTAATGAAGTGTACCCATAGAAAGCAAAGCACTGGCAAAGAGATTCCCATCCCCTGCATCACAGCTGGGTCACAACAGTTGCTGCTTTAGGGAGAACTGATTTGCTTCCCAGGACTGCAAGATTCATTAACCAAAACTTGAATTCAGGGAACTTTAAATTCTTGATTTTCTCTAGGTTTTTTTCCCAGGTTGTATTTAGGTATTTGAGGAAAGAAAGAACCCTCCACCTACACCAGAATTTGGGGTTAAGTAAAATATCCATTGAATATTTTACTTGAGTATTTGGGGGTAAGTAAAATATTCATTTGAATATTCATTGAATATTCAAAATATTCAAAATATTTTGTAGCTTCACTCAACCTGGATTAGTATAACTCTGAGCTGTCACACTTCAAACTTCAGCCACAGAAAATCTCCAAGTTCAAGTGCCTGACATGCCACACAAATGAAATGCTGCTGGCAAGCTGAGTGTGGATCACACTGCTTTTAAAGGTTTGCTTGGTCCTTTGAAAGGTAAAATGCTATAGGTTAACACAAAATGCTCATTAACATGGCAGGAAAAGTGAAAGAGGGGAAAAGGAAGGGATTTGGCCACAGCCAGGCAGGGACAGCAGCAGAGCTTCAGACAGACCCAGGAATTCTGACTCTCAGTCAGCAGCCTTGGAATATCTGGCTGAAATGATGTCTTTGCTAATCTTGCCATCATGCTGTCTCTATTTACTTCCTCCTAGGATAAAAGGTTAATTCATCTCCACAGAGAATAGATATGGGAAAAGAAGGGGATAAAATCTGATTTGGAGAAACTCTCTAAACCATTTATTAAAAATGGCACTATTTCAACACCAAGAGCTGAATAAAAGGCTGATATCCCACATGAATAAACCAGTCTAGAGAATGGAAAGGGGGGTGGGGCTGGTGGTGAGGAACCCAGACAATTCATTAGGGTTTGATAATCTCACTCCTGTTCACACATTTTAAGGGCAGTGCACTATTAAAACACAGCCACTGAATTACTCTACTGTCCTTTAAACCCGAGTGCTAGATCCCACTGTGGCACATGCTGCAAGCCCAGGTTGCAGGGTTTATTACAAAACCATCAACTGCTCTGGGTATCATCTGACTGGCAATACAAATGTGCTTAAATGACCTGGCTTAAGCACAGCCCAGCCTGCTCTGCTAAAGAGGCTTTTCATGACCTCTGGGAACACATTCACCACGTCTTGCTGCCTATTTAAATGACC